TATTTGAATAATAAATATATTTCATATAATTATATAAGTAAATAGTATATTTTATAAATGTTTGAAAATCATATCAAAAGTTTGTTGCTTCGTTAAAATAAATATTTTATTAATTTAGTTTTAGTTTGAATTATAGTTTTAATTTTGAATTAATTAGTTTATTGAAAATCGATTAGTTTATAATTAAGTTAATTATTTTATCTCGTTAAGTTTAAAAAGCTCATCAATTAATTACGTTAATTTGTCCTATTTGAATTGAGCCGAATCTTTTAAAATTAATTCATTTGGCTACCTTTTTAATCTGCTTGGTTAAATTGTTAATTAGTTCCTATTATATTTTAGCCAAAATCTAATCTTTTATTCAAATCCATCACTAGACCAAAGTTTGGGCCACTTTTCAGCAGCCCAATACAATTTCCAGCAACACATTACACCGATCCAGCCAGATTTTCTCTTGATTCTCAACCATACAATACAAACAGCAATACCCCATGAAGCAATACCTTAATTTCCAGCCCCAAATCCACCCAATTCTAACATATTAACCAGCAGCCCACCAATTATTACCCAAAAAGAACCCAACAATACAATACAACAGTAGCGTACAATATACCAAAAACGACCCCACATAGTTTCTTTTTTTTTTCATGCATACCAGATGACACAGCAACAGAACCAGCAGACCCCTGTAGCGTTTTCTTCTTTGCACAAAGAACGTGTATACTCCAAACTCCAGAAAAAATCAAAACTCAGTGAAATCGCGACCTCCAGCAGTCCAGACGCGAATTCAAGTCACCTGACCCTCTTTCTCCCTTATTATCTCGTACAGAAGCCAGGTGTTGCAATATCGATGATGGTTTGTCCTTGCTCCTCGAATCGAACGACTCCCTTCATTTTTCCGTTGAAGATTGTACAATCTGTACAATGGACAGGTGGTTCGACCTTATCCTCAGGAGGAGATTTTGAATTTAAAAATTGATCCCTTTCTCCCTCTCGATTTTCCCCCCACCCAAAATCTGCCTTAGCTCCCTCTCTATAAAAAACTCTTTTCTTTTCCAGTATTGGGAGTAGGAGAAAATATTGGTAAGGAGTTAGCACTAAAGAGGAAAACACCCTAAATTACTACGAGTTACATACGAGTATTTAGTATAGGTGTCGAGTATAGAGACGAGAGAGGATTTAGTTTTTCTTCTCGGTTTGGAAGACTCTTTTGCTTTCCGAAGCACATCAAAATCGATTCATAGTGGTGGAAGCACTTTCAAGCTCGTGGTTCCAGTTCGCTGCTCGAAAAAGGTAATATCTACTTCTTCACTTACGTTCTGTTTCAATTACAAGCATTATGTGATAAACTTGCTTTTGTTGGGTTTCTCGGCCTCTGTCTTGTTCTCTTTTCTATTTTTTGACTTCACTACTCTTGGATGGAAGTTTGTTCGGCTTGAATATGAGCTTTTCGACTTAGTTTCTTCGCTGTGTGGACTCTTAATTGATCATCGCATTTTTATTTTTATTTTTCTTTTGTCAAATTCTTCGGCTTATTTTGTATCCATGAGACTAGTTAAACCTCTGTTATACCTTGTTCAAAATGGTTTAAAGTTCATTTGGTCTCAACTGTAAGTGTATCGTTTGTGTTATTTGGATTATTTGCTATTTGGTTAGCTTTCATCTGTATGAATGGGACTGTATTATTGGCAGTCTGTTTTGGTGTTCTTCTTATTGTGAAAGATTCTTGTTAACACTAGCTTAAACTTGCATAATAAGTGTATCTAATCTTTATCCCTCCTTAGTCGGACTGATATTTATTTCTCTTTGGTTTTTACTCGTGATAGTATAGCTCCGCTCTTATAATGTATTGATTTGACCAAGGTTTCTCTTACTTTTTCCAGAAAATCACCCATTTTGTTTTCGTCTAATATGCAATATCTATCATGAGTATAATTTGTTAGTTAGCTTAGTCATTTATTTGATGTTATTGCTCAACAATGCTATTCTCTTTGTGTATTATATTTACTCATGCCTATTTTTGCTTCTGTCTGGCATGCTAGTTTGAGAAGAGGACTACCTTGTTTAATTATTTATGGCCATTTGTTGTTACCTATACTTGAGATAATTTTGCCGAATCACTACCTCTAAATTTCTATTTTTTTTAGTATGATAAGCTGGCATCTCTAGGTTTCTATAGATAGACTTGGTTTTAGTTATTGGCATTGATTTCTTGATGTGTGTAGCGTGTTGATTTTTCTTTTAAGATTAATTCCTAGTGGTTTGGTCGTATGTTATTTGCTCTTTGGATTAGTTTACAGAGATGAAAGAGTGATTTTCAATTTTTATGGTCTAGTTAGTCTTAATTATTGTATAAGTGAGGCTTCACAGAGCATGTGGGTAGACATAATGGTTTAATAAATTGCTTTTCTCCTCTCTTTAACCTGTCAGTAGTGTGGTTATAATTATCCACTTATTTTATTTCTTTTTAGTTTAAGGGTGTTAAATTGTAATTTCCTTTGATGTTTCTTTTTTATCATTTTTTGAGATTGTCAATCATCATCGATCTACGACTTTGGAGATGCTATTATTGTGTACTAATCCTTATTATCATTTTTTGTTGCATGTAAAATCTGTCCTAGTTCGCCAAGAATTCACTCCTTCTTTTGCATGTCGAGAGAGCCGTAAAGGCTCTAATTTCTTTATCGAGTCAGTCAGCTATCACATCGGCGAACAGTCTCGAAGTTGAAAGTAAAGCAAAGCAGATCGGGAGTTGAAAAAGATTGGGCCAAAAGTCCACCTCTATTTATTCTGAGTTGTGTTTTGTCATTTGGGTCTAAGTCCCTCGTCATTATTTATTATTATTGTGTTAGTTATTAGGACAAGTGAAAAAATTGGGCCTAAAGTCCAAAAGAATATTTTTCTTTTATGTTAGTTTAGGATAGGTGCAGGGGGACTCAAATAGGCCAAAGGCCCAAAACAAAAATGGGCCCAAATACTGGCCCAGGCTAACAGAAACCAGACTTGGGCCCAAATCTCTCTCTCTCCTTATTATATATTTTGTGTTAATTTTATTATTAGTACATGCTTATTTGCTAATTAATTTTAAGGTTCTTAATTCATAATTCCCCAAAGGACACCCATTTTGAGTTAGTTAACTTATAGTACTTTATCTTAAAATAACTAAGTATACTTGTCGTTCCAAATTAATTTCTAAAAAATTTAGAAGCTTTTCTCTACTTGGACATTTTAGATAATATATTCCCTTTCCTCTTTAAATGATTTTAAGTCATAAAATTTGTTCATTTGGTAACTAGTCAAACAGATTTAGCCAAATAATTAATTACCAGATAATCGCGTATTAGCGGGCATTTCGGGTGCTTTCAAATCCTTTCTGAAATGCTAATAAGAACCCAACCCCTTTAAATATTTTCAATTGATTTGTTGTTTTAATCTATTGAAAATAAGTTTTTTAATTTTATCTTAAAAATTAAGTGGTGACTCTTAAAACCAGCCAATTATATTTTCTTAAATAAAACAGAATGACGACTCTGCTGGGAGAGTTGAGTGAGTTCTAACCTTAAAATTAACTTATTTGGCTATTTGTTTAAATTGCTTAATTATTTCAATTCTTGTATATTATAAATTTTTGCATTTCATGGCATCTGATTTCGCCAAACGGCAAAAATATTAATTAGGAAAAAAGGCGGTTAAGTGGCTTTTCACGGCTGTCCTTCAGAAAAACACCTCTGAATTATTTTGAAGTGATAAACAAATAGTTGGTTTGTGGTCATCCAATGTCGTTTATTATATTTCACCTCGTATTTGTCCAACTCGAGTTCCCAATCTTTCAAAACCAACTCTTAGTCAACTAGCGTAGAGCGAAACCAAATCCTTTTTAGCGCATTAAACTAAGATGACCCAACACCCAAGGCGTGTTGGGCCTATTAGAGAGACCACCTTGAGTCCAAAACGGCACACGACCTAAACGGACGATCATACTTATGTGTTTAAATTTGAAGGATGTATACATTGTTGGAAAAATCATTGTTCCTTGGGGGTTGGGATTTAATAGTTTGTTCTAGTCAAAGAAGGAGTTGTACAAGCTACTATTACATCCAAAGTGGGACATCCGGAGACAACAAGAAATCAAGGATGAAGGATCTTCCATAGAAGCCTAGTTTAGGATTGTACCCTGCGTGGACTAATTTTTTGTATCCCTTTCCCCCATTATGTATCCCCATTCAGTTTATTCATAATACTTGTATAAATTTGGGTTTAGGAAACAATGAAGTGCTTCAACCGACGTATACATCCCTCAAATCGTTAGGCCTACCCTTGCATAAAATGGTCACATATATGTTTAGAACGCGCAATAACTGTTTATGTGTTATAACTGCTTATGTGAATATGCTGCTTTATTTGAAGATGTTCTAGCTCACCACCCTTCTTGAAAACTTTCTAGAAACCCCTAAGCACAAATATCAAGTCACTATCAAAAGTGCGTCGAAATACACTTTGAGTCTTTAGTTTTCCAACAAAATTCGAACTTCATTTTTCAAATCTTACTCTCTCATATTAGCAAAAGATCCACCGTATCAAATCGAAAAAGATTCAAGGGTCGAACACGTAGGTACTGAATTCTCCTTCGTAAGATACGTAGGCAGCCTTTTAAGGCTCGATCCCCACTTTTGTGATAAATTCTATATTTTCCAACTCTCACAAAGAAATTAGAGTTACATCTCAATCAAAAAATCAGAAATACGACAATATACAATCAACTTTGTCTCAACTCAAGTCAACATTCTGGTCCACTAAGCTCAAAATCAAATAGTCAAATTCCTGTCTATTTAGTCGTTTCTCTATATACGTGGGCTAGTTTATCTTCAAATGAAGCAACCCTTATGTATTTACAGTAATATGTGTGATATTTTGTATTATTTATCATCGACACAGACTAACATATTTGTCTTTGAGTTATTTTCTTTGTCAGGTACTCAAAACTAGTCTGTGTTGAGAAAATGGCTGAACATCCATACTTCACAAGGTCTAAAGACCCCAAAGATTCCTTCTCTGATCGATGTTTGTCAAAAGGCAAAGAAAAAGTGGTTGAAAATGCTGAGAACACTGATTTGACCGAAATTATTGTGAATACCACATCATTGCTGAACAGAACAAGTTGATTGCACAATTGTTCCAGCAGATTGCTGAAATGAGGGCTGAAATGGATAAGACTCGAGATTTGACGAATCTAGCTATTGTTGCCAACACTTCTATTCCAGACAACGGAAGGCATCCACTCCATTTTCCTACTTCGGACCCAACATCTGGCCCTTATCCAAAAAATTCATCCACTGCTACGAATTCAAAACCTCTCATCATCGACTTAACCACCTTTAATCCACACCATGCTAGCTCATCACACCAAAAGTTATCTACTACTCAAAATCCAAATACCAATATTTTCCAAAATTCTCCTCCGATCCATCAAATCACTACTCAAATTGTCCAAAACCCACCTACCACTCAACTCATCTTTCAATATCGCCTGAATTGTACCCTCTCATTACCCCACATATTGAATCCGGTCATTATGAGAAGAAGAAGAAGAAGGAGTGCAAGAGCATTAGAGAGGAAGTTATGAATGCAATGAAGGACTTTCGATACACCACATACATTGCAGGGTTGAATTATGAAGATTTGTACATTCATCCACATTTGGAGCTTCCAAAAGGTTTTAAAGTACCAAAATTTGAAGCATTTAGTGGAGTTGAGAATCCTTTGACTCATTTGAGGGCTTATTATGATCAACTCATTGGAGTTGGGAAATATGAGGCTTTGTTGATGCGACTCTTTAGTCAAAATCTAAAAGGAGAAGCATTGTAATGGTTTATTTCCAAAGAATCCAAGCAATGGCCAAGTTTGAACGCTTTGGCTAAAAACTTCATTGAAAGGTTTGGCTACAATGTAGAATTTATTCCTGATCGATACTCTTGGGAGAGAATCAAATAGAATTCTACTGAAAGCTATCGAAAGTATGCCTACCGTTGGAGAAGAAAGGCTGCAAGGGTTAGGCCTCTCATGACCGAGAAAGAGATTATTGAAGTCTTCGTGCGCTTTCAAGAGCCGGAGTACTACAATAGGATGTTGCTCATTTTAGGAGAGAAGTTCAGTGAGATAGTTAAAGTTGGTGAAGCAATTGAAAACGGTCTCAAGACCGGAATAATCATCTGAATGACTCACCAAGATGAATCCTTGGGACTATTGAGGAGGAAGAGGTAAGATGTTTCCTCTATCTCATTTGAATCAAGCAAAAAATCAAAGAGCCATGCTGGTCTCAATGTTCGAAAGTCCTTACCATCCAAAACCTACCCTTTAGCTCTATAAAATCCTTACCTCATCAAACCAAATTACCAAAATCCACCACCAAATCATCCAAATTACCAAGCTCCATTGCCAAATTATCCAAATGCCCGTCATAGCTACCAAGCTCCACAATACCAAAATTTTCAAACACCAGCACCTACTCGCCAAAATCCTCCAAGTTATCGTCAAGTATATCTACCGTCGCGAAATAATTACAATCTTTCTTGTCATGAGTATTTGAAGAAACCTTCTCGACTCTTTACTCTTTTGGTTGAAAGTCAAACCCAACTCTTTGAGCAATTGAAATCGGTTGGTCTGATAAGAACAATTGATCCAAAAAATGTCAATGTCAATTCCAGAGTTTACAGGTCTGATCTTCATTGTGCTTACTATTCAGGAGGTGCTGGACATACCAATGAGGATTGCATCAACTTAAAACACAAAATTCAGGACTTGATTGATCAAGGAATTGTCACCCTTCCAACGGTCACTTCCAATACCAATGGTAATTCATTGTTGAATCGTGGGGGATTCACTAGTAGCATCTTTTATTTGTAATTGTCTTATGTTCTGTAGTTAGAAAATTATTCTTTGTAGTGAACTACGTCTGACCTGAATTCTCCAGAATGAGATACGTAGGCGGCCTATGTCGTCTTCGGTCACTTTTTTATCCCTTTTTAATATTTCTTAGTAATGAACTACGTCTGACCTGAATTTTCAAGAATGAGATACGTAGGCGGCCTATGTCGGCTTCGGTCACTTTTTTATCCCCTTTTAATATTTCTTTGTAATGAACTACGTCTGACCTGAATTGTGAAGAATGAGATACGTTGGCGGCCTATGTCGGCTTCGGTCATTTTGTTATCCCCTTTTAATATTTCTTTGTAATGAACTACGTTTGACCTGAATTCTCAAGAATGAGATACGCAAGCAGCTTGTGTCGGCCTCGATCATTTCCTTATCAAAATTTCCTATTTTTGTTAATCTTTGAGAGGGGGAACTATGCTTGACCTGATTCCTGCCTCAATGGGATACGTAGGCGCCACAAGGGTTCGGTCATATCTCCCGTAAGATTTCTGTGTTTTTTACAATAGAAACTGGGACAGAATTTTTGAGAGGAATTCAAAAATTCTCAAAAAAGAAGAATTCTACAACAAGTCAAGACTGGAGATATATCGAGAATCGCAACTGGGACAGAATTTTTGAGAGGGTCTCAAAAATTCTACAAGTCATATATCAACAATTAGAGATACTCCAAGACATCTAACTGGGACAAAATTTTTGAGGATGACCTCAAAATTCCTTCAAGCATCATTAGAAGTTTGTAGTAAATTTCAAATATTTCAAGCATATTAGAAGTTTAAAGCTAACTTTGAATGATCTCTGGCGTGGTTAAAGTTCATAGTCAAATGCAGCAATCTCCGACATCTTTGAATTTTAGAGTCAACTGCAAAACCTTTCAATAATAGCAGATTTTGGGAGGACCGTTTCAGAAATTTCCTAAGATTTAAGGATTTTTGAATTCTCCAGAACAAGCTATCGGATAAACCAAAGTTTCAAACCACGGACTTTCATTTAAGCTACGCATGACATGACATTTGTCAGTGATTTTTTAAAATCCCTTTTTAGGCTTTTGATATGTTAAATATTTTGTATAATTTCATTTTATGTCTATCGAGGAGCAAGAGATCGGAGTGATCAACCGAATATAGAAAGACAAGGAGCAAGATATTGAAGAACTCAACACAGATCAATTTGTTTTAAAAACTACTAATTTTTCTGTGGATCCAGGTTTATAAGTTTGCCTCAAGATCATCATATTCCTCCATTCAATGAATTTGGAGAAGTTAAAAGGGCGAGTAGCTCTCCAAAATTGACAACTTTTTTGTAGATGCAGAAAAGTCATTAAAGTTTTTTTTAGAAGAAAAAAGAAATATTTTAGAATACAAGAAACAACACCTCGGTCAAATTCCCAGCAAAGCATGAGTCACAATGAGTACAAATCATCAAGAACATATGAAGAATATTCACAAATTGTGTCGATATAAGACGCGGCAATGTGAAACCCCAGAGGGACATTTCTACAATATTATCAGATGAGATAATACCACTACCAAGAGGAACATATCTGTAGTATTATCAAATGAGATAGTACCACCACCGAGAAGGACATCATCGTCATTTTATCGATGAGATATCAGCATCATGTCTATGGATCAACATCATCCTACCAATGGATCATCAACAAAGCAACATCATCTTGTCAATAGATCAACATCATTCTACCAATGGATCATCAACGAAGCATCATCATCCTGTCAATGCATCAACATCATCCTACCAATGAATTATCAACGAAGCAATATTATCCTACCAGTGGATCAACATCATCCTACCAATGGATCATAAACGAAGCATTATCATCTTGTCAATGGATCAACATCATCCTACCAACGAATCATTAACGAAGAATCATCATCCTATCAATGGATCAACATTATCCTACCAGTGGATCAACATCACCCTACCAATGGATCATCAACGAAGCATCATCATCCTATCAATGGAGCATTAACATCATCCCGCTGATACATCATCAATCATTATCCTATCAATGGAGCATCGACGTCATTATCCTATCATGTAGCAGCGTTATCCTACCAATCTATCATCATCATCCTATCAATGAAGCATCGTCATCCACATCATATCAAGTCATCTACTGCGTCAAAACCAATGGAGGCTGTCGTCAGAACATTTATAGAAAAGAACATTTGTTGAATACAATAAAAGGTATCACTTCTCTATTTAAATTACAGTTTCTGCTAACAAGTTTATTTCATTCCTTGTCGAGAGCATCCAAAAGGATGAATTCTCAAATCAAACCACAGGTGCAGATGACATAAAAAAAGATGCAGCACAACGTGGAACTTTTCTTAGCACAAGCTGAGGAGCAAATATTCATTGAGCCATCCATCTCGTTACATTTGGATAATCATCGAGCCATCCACGTCCTTATAGTTGGATAATTATCGAGTCATCCACCTCGTTACAGTTGGCATATTATCTAGTCATCCACCTCGTTACAGTTGGATAACCATTGAGCCATCTAGCTCATTGTAGAGATCACCGAAGTTTTTCGTACAAGCAATGACATTTCCAAATCCTCAGTAAATCACGAGTTGTAATGGACATACTGTGTCCGAAAGCGGTATCCATTATCTTCTACTTTCAATACTTTTTTATTTTCTCATCTAGTTGAAATAGATGTTTATGCTCATTTGTTATATGCAGGATCTTTCTTTATTTTTTATTCAAACTACTAGCTAGAGCAGCACTATGTCTACTAATTATTTACTTTGAGTGTGCAGACATATACTGAACATACTTATGTGACATTTTTCACAGCAAGAGTAACTGAAAAAGCATCGTAAGAGATGCTACCAATTTTTCCAATTACAGTTTCTACTAATAAGTTTATTTCAGTCATTGTCGAGAGCATCCAAAAAGATGAATTCTCAAATCAAACCACAGGTGCGGACGACTTCAACAAGGATGCAGCATAACGTAGAACTTTTTCTTAGCAGCGAACTGGGACATAGTCCAAAGAGGAGTGCAAAATTCTTAGGACGCGAGCTGAGGAGTGACTTCCACCACAATCAAACCACACCCCTATCAGAAGGCATGAGGGTTTTCCTTAGGTCTATCGGTTTCAGTCTCGCATTCGGAAAATTTTGATTTTCACCGGAAGCAACTTTCCAATCTAAGTGACAATGCACCAAAAGCTTTGAAAATTATGTCCGTTTAAATTCTTAATTATGGGTGTGAAGCGCGCCACATTCATGACTGAGAGGTTGCAAGCCTCTTTTTCATACTGGACTTACTTTGTCACTCCTCCTGAACCAAATGATATCTTAGCATAAGAGATTTCATTTTCAACCGATTGAGTCGAACTACAAGCAGTCTGATTCCCTAAGTCAAGGGATATGTAGGAGGAATCAATGTTGAAACTCGGCTGTATTCCATTATTCGCTCTTCCTAACCTGATATCAGGATGACTTTTGAATTCTTTCAAATCGTGCGTCAAATCAAGCTTATCGAACTACAAGTGACGTGAATTCTCATATAGCCTGAGATATGTAGGAAACTATTTTCCGGGGTTCGACCACAATTCCCAAAGCCCGTACCAACATCCTTTTCCCAAAAGAAGGAGATGTGATCGGTCAAAATTGGATTCGTCAATTTCATTTTCCTCTGATTTCTTTCATCAATCTAACTAAAACGAGGGACAGTTTATGATACCCAATTTTGACCCTGCTCGATAATAGTTAATTTTCGAGCTTCTTATTATTCAAACGATTTAAAATAATTAGTTGTATCAAATTCAAATAGTTTCAAGGTTAGTTTAAATAATTTCAATCGATTGTTATAGTATTTGAATAATAAATATATTTCACATAATTATATAGCTAAATAGTATATTTTATAAATGTTTGAAAATCATATCAAAAGTTTGTTGCTTCGTTAAAATAAATATTTTATTAATTTAGTTTTAGTTTGAATTATAGTTTTAATTTTGAATTAATTAGTTTCTTGAAAATCGATTAGTTTATAATTAAGTTAATTATTTTATCTCGTTAAGTTTAAAAAGCTCATCAATTAATTACGTTAATTTGTCCTATTTGAATTCGAGCCGAATCTCCTAAAATTAAATCATTCGGCTACCTTTTTAATCAACTTGGCTAAATTGTTAATTAGTTCCTATTATCATTTTAGCCAAAATCTAATCTTTTATTCAAACCCATTACTAGACCAAAGTTTGGGCCACTTTTCAGCAGCCCAATACAATTTCCAGCAACACATTACACCGATCCAGCCAGATTTTCTCTTGATTCTCAACCATACAATACAAACAGCAATACCCCATGAAGCAATACCTCAATTTCCAGCCCCAAATCAACCCAATTCCAACATATTAACCCAGTAGCCCACCAATTATTAACCAAAAAGAACCCAACAATACAATACAACAGTAGCGTACAATATACCAAAAACGACCCCACATGGTTTCTTCTTCTTTTTTCACGCATATCAGACGACACAATAATAGAACCAGCAGACCCCTGTAGCATTTTCTTCTTTGTAGCAAAGAACGCGTATACTCCAAACTCCAGAAAAAATTGAAACCCAGTGAAATTCGACCTCCAGCAGTGCAGACGTGAATTCAAGTCGCGTGACTCTCTTCTCTCCCTTATCTCTCGTACAGAAGACAGGTGTTGCAATCTCGATGATGGTTTGTACTTGCTCCTCGAATCGAACAACTCCCTTCATTTTTTCATTGAAGATTGTACAATCAATAAATGGACAGCTGGTTCGACCTTATCCACAGGAGGAGTTTTTAAATTTTGAATTTAAAAATTGATCCCTTTCTCCCTCTCAATTTCCCCCCTCCCAAAATCTGCCTTAGCTCTCCCTCTATAAAAAAA